AAGACAAATCCCTGTGTCATGGAACTGGTTACTTAACAAAAGGAACTGGTCTATGAAATGTTTTAATGAACAGCTGCTTCAATCTGCAGGCTGGTATTTGAGCAACACTCAAAGGAGAGTCCTCTGCTCCTGTACGCAGGAGCCACCAGCATTTTGTGCAGCTGCTCACAGAGGAGTGCTGCACTTGCCCGAGCTGTCCCATGTCCTTGATGTGACAGTGACTATTCTGCCCTCACAGCGTTGAGCTGCTTGCAGTAGCTGAGTGTGAATCACACGCCTGCACAATGCCATTCTTCATCTTCACGTGTAAGACGCATCTCTTTCAAAACATCACCGCTCAAAGTCATTAGATAAATTGCACCCTCACACAATCCATGCAAAATCAAAGTCAGAACCACAAAAAAAGAGATGCAGAAGGACAAGGAAGCAAACTCTGTGGCAGAAGAAACAGAGATTAATCCTGAATGAAGAGGCTCTGAAACACACTTATCCTCAGCGCATCACACACACTGCCTCTGCATGGCAGAGGGTTGTCTTCTTTTACACACATGCAACTTACACTCTTGGAAAAAAAAAAAAATTTTTGAAGTATTTTTTAGAGAACTCATATATTGTTTATCTCCTGTCATTACCACTTCTTGAAAAATATGGCTCAGATTCCCCGATTTGCACAACTGTGAATCAAGCCCACTGAAACCTCAAACTCGAGCTGACCAGGGTGTTCCTTCTAGCTGATATTATTCATCAACTGCACACAGAAGTCTATCTCAGAAATTACAGTGCAAAACATATGAAGAATGTCAGTTTTACATAATTACTGATTAACTAGCATCTTGTCAATAGCAATTATTGAAACCCCTGGGGTGAGAATCCATTTGAAATACTTGGAGAGACGAGTACACGAGCATTCACAAGTGCAGAATATTTAAACAAAAAAAGAGAGAAAGAATACACTGCAATCTTACCTGAGAACAAAAGGATATTTCTTTAAAGCTTTTTTCAATTGCTACTTTTTTTGTGTCAGGACTGATAAGGTAAACTTCAGACTGGCCAATCTAAAAAGAGCAAAATAAACAGCAAGATGATAACAAGAAACATTACACTTCCTTTTGTCTCGCTATAAAACTGTTTCCTGGACATAAATCTCCATTTTTTTCTACCTGTATTTTTAGGCCAATTAATGTATTATTACCAGAGAAAAAGAGAATACTGAAACAACATTGAATTGGCATTCAGAGCTCTGCACATTACTGAACTGAGATTTAGTTTCACATTTGAGACAAGAGACCAAGAATAGTGTTTAATTAGATGAGAGTAATATTATACTGCAAGTAACTTACTTTGCACTGAGAAAATATACTCACGCTCTTTTCTTATTTTCTGCAGGCTTGGCACATACCACATTCCCAGAAGCTACTTAATTAAATTGTCCTAAAATATAAATCCAAGTGTGTGTCTTTACCTGTATCCCACCTAATTATTTTTAGGGTTTTGTTTATCTGTTTAAGACACACACAGCATTTAATTTAAAGACTTTAACTCAAACTATAAAAATGAGTTTACTGGAGTATATGTTCTAACTTAATTTAATCTGTAGGCCATTTATACAGGAGTGACCCAAAAGGTGATGCTAACTTTTAATGGGCAAAGGGCATTTTTAAGGTGAAACTATTGTTTTCAATTTTTCAGCTTCTGGCAACATCTTTGTAACATTTTAACAGATAAAATTTAAATTCCTCATAGTTTCTGGCGCATCAGAAAGTCTGCTAAGGACAAGTCTCATATCAGATTTTAGGGAAGATGGGTGGAATCTGGATCCATTCACAAACATGACTTAGACAAACCTGCTGAAGCTTCAACCACTACCGAATCCCAGAAGACACACATAAAAACATCACCGGGACCAATATACCTGTAATTTCTTAAG